ATCGCCAACTACTTGCACAAGTATTGAGCGAATTATGTGGTAATAAAATGGCCATTGTCGAATTTCTTAAGAAGAATAAGGAATGGTGTCGGAACACCGAGCATCGGGAGGCTTATGACAGGGTCAAAGACAGCCTCCTTCATGCACCAATACTGACCCGATGGTCTTTTTAGTGTCGTCTGAGACAATTCGGGCTTTGCCATCGGCTGTGCACTGCTGCTAGCAAAATGCCGCAGGGCGAGATCGGGTTATCGCGCTCGAATCTCGACAGCTTAAGGCTGCAGAGAGGAACTACCCAGTCCAGTATGAACTTATCAAGTTCAAAGTACTCAAAGCCGTTTAGGATCACACGGATCATGTGACACTAAGCACTGCAACTCAGTCGTCTCACCTTTCGCAGAGGATGGCCAGGTGGATCTTCTTCTTTACAGAAGATAACTTCGAGGTGAAGTATAGCCAGGAAAGCAGAATGCTTTGGCTGATGTGTTGTCACTCAAATCAGATTATGAGCTTGCTCATGTCACGAGGTGACGTCGTCCGTGATGGATTTGCTTCGCGTCGCGTACGCAGTTGGTGATATGTGCGTAGCGCTGCTACGAGCTCCCGGGAGTAAGAAATTCGAAATTTCGGACAAGTAATTGTCGGCGCGTTTGCGCGCAAGGTTGCACTGACTTTCGTTGAATAACAAATTTGTGTATTAAAGCACCGATTTAACGGACACGCCACGAATTGTGGTTCCTCACGATGAGAATTTGCAATACCATATTCTCCATGAGGACTTCGACAGCCACTCAGAGGTCATCACGGTCGTGAGAATACGTTCAGCTCGATGAGTTGCCACAACTGGTGGTCGAAGCTGAAAAAATGGCTGAGCACATATGCGCGCTCGTGTGAGACGTGTCAAAGGGCGAAACCCTCTACAAATTCGGCGGCGCCGCTAATTAATTTGTCGGTGCCTCCGGTGCTGGTAGTCCATGTGTTTGGACTTTGAATCTTTCTTGCCAAAGGACTCGGCGGGCAACACGGGTAGGGTGGTCCTCGTCGACCGTTTGAGCAAGATGGCTCAACTTGCGGTGGTGCCGGACACCATCGACGGTGTCGGTACAGCGGTGCTGTCTGTGGATCGTGTCTCTCGACAACATGAACTTTCGGAGTCAATTGTCTCTACAGAGACCCACGCTTCGCTAGAAAGTTTTGGTCGACAATTTTCAAGGTGCTGGGCACCAAGCTGGATATGTCGACAGCGGTCATCCGCAGACCGAAGGTCAAATCGTGCGCGTAAATCGCGTCGTTGAAGACGTTGTTCGTTGCATCAGCGCTGAGAAGCCGAAGCGCTGAAGCGCCTTGCTGCCGCTTGTGGCGTTCTCACTGAGCACTGCAGTGCATATGTGTACCGCCTATACGCCGTTCTGCGTGAGCGGATATTATAATCCTCGCGTCCCGCTGACGCCGCCATCCCATGGTGGTGGGGGAGGAATAGCCGAGTGGCTAGCTGATGTCAGCCTCCCTCACTGTCCGTAATGAAGTCGATGACTTCCTATTTATCAGACTGAATGTCTAACGACACGCTTGCGATGCAATGGCGGAAAGCCAAGACATGCAGAAAGAATGTGCAGACGAAAGAAGCAGAAGAAATGTTGAAAACATTGAGGTCGGAGATCTTGTTTTATTAAGTGCAAAAAGCCTTCCTACACATGCAGTCTCTGCTGTATTTAAGATAAAGCTCCGTCTACGGTCTATTGGACCTTATAAGGTCGTGGCCAAGCGAGGCCTAGCGTATACGCTGAGCCATCCGAGAAGGATGCACACCCACCCGGTGTTTTATGTGGGCTTGCCTAATACGTACCGGGATACGGCGCAAATGAACGCGAAAGCGTTGGCGCCGGGGTGGTGCTCAAAGGCGCTCGACCACCCGGAAGCTGAACCAGCAACTGGTTTTGAACACGAAGGGCACCTATTTTCATTTTCAACGGCGCCAGGAGTTTTGCATTCGCCTGCTCGACGGCTGGGAGTCGCTACGACAGCGCGCGGTAGTCTTTAACGTGAGGCAGTCGGTGCACAAAACCCTCCAGGCTCTTAAAGTCTTCCGCACAGCGGTATGCAACCTCGGCTAGATGCTCAGCGGAGTGCCACTGACGATGGAATTTGTCGTCAGAAAAAAATGAAGAGCATCGCGGGTCACCGGACGGCTTACGATCAGAAGGATCATGACATTCCGCGTCGTCGTACGTCCCGCACTTCTCAGCAATAGCCAGGGAAGCTGAAGGGCCATGAGCTAAGTTCAAGCAATAGCCCTGAGCTACTGTGGTCGCAGACTCGCCCACGTGAGAAACCACAGAGCTCGTGGGGGTGTGATGGATTAATCCATAGGTTGCAGGGTGGCAATACGTAGGAAGTCGGCGTTGCGCCTTGGGCTTGGCAAACTCGAATTGAAGATGGCGTTCTGTACGCACGTCGACTTCCTTGTGGCTACGCTGTACATTAGACAGCGAGGAAAGTTCTCGGTGCCGTTGCACCCATCGCTCAAAGAGCACTCTTATCTGCAGCGGTTTTGCCAGGGGCGAGCACCACAGGAATAGTCCGCATTGCGGGTACAGGAGCGCCTCCTCTTTGAGCACGAAGTCGAGTGCGGTATCTATTCTGGATTTTTTTGAGGTACCAAGAAGCGAGCTCGGAGAGCTTTTCTTTGGTCAAGCTCACCTTGTGTATTGGCTAGAGCCCCGACTACGTGGATGCGCAACGATCGAGTGATTGTGTCTTTCGCTTCTGTAGCGGATCCGCCGAGCAAAAGCCGAATTTCATACGAGGGTCTTGAACCGACTGTGGATGCGAGCACATTAGAGCCGCCGTGTGGGCGCCTCCAGCTGCTGCTTCTGTGCCTCGTTGAGGCGATTGGTAATAATGCCGCTTCCCCCGGAAGTTGAGAGGTCGGGAAACGGACACAGTGACAGCAAATTTCGAGCAGGGCTCACATCGCGCCCTCGCCCTCGTCTTCTTCACATCCTGGAAAACGTGTATCTGGCTCGTAGTCGACATCCTCCGAATCCTCGACGAGGTAGCCCTTCACCCGTAGTGGGCGTGGCGCGCGGTTCTCGATTGCCGAGGTCTTGCGATGCGCTTCCCTGTAGCCGCGGACGTACTGTTCGGAGTGTCACTGCGTGCGGAGAAGGGCTCTGCCCGCGGGCGCTCTCATAACAGCGAGGCTGAATGTCTTTTGAGTCTAATACACAGGGCTCATTGAGCAGAGAATGCGTGTAGAAGGTCCTGGGGTGTATAAGTGACCTAGACCCGCGAGCCTCGTACGAGACGACAGCTAAATATTAATTGTGGGTACTCCCAGTCTGATGGGGAGAGTGTAACGGGGATATACGTACCCTGGTATGAAAGATTGGGTCACACAAGATAATATGACCACGCAATGGTGTGGTCACACCACAACAAGAAGCCACTACGTGGCAGGACTGCCAGTAGTTATGCATATTAATTTGGTTTTACTATTTAATACGATAAAATCTATAGATTCAGATTTAGGCTGCTTTGCCGCAAAGAAAACAAAAAAAAACAGCTTATATTTTAAGCCGAAGAGTTTATTTGCCTTATGCTAAGGTTGTAGATACTCTTGGAGTAAGCGGATTGCGATCCGCAACACTCGTACTGGTTCTAATATGGAGCGTAATGTCGGTGACTTAAGCTTAACTTTCTTTAAGCAAAAGAGCTACGGCAAGCCCGCTGTTGATTAAAATAAAGACGATCTCAAAGAAGAAGACGCTCAATCCAAAAGCAGACGAAGTACTTCTAATAAAGCTTATCGCGCACGCTAAAGCCCTGTAATTCAAGCGAGACTTGAGAAATCGGTGCCAGATACACTACCTACCTATAGAAAGGCAGCTTTAGGGCCTCATACAGTGTTCCTTAATGTGGTCAGACCTCTGGCTCCACCTTTTTGCCCTGTTCTCTTTGCAGACTTGTAGCGAAGAACTAGTCAGACCGTTGGCTGGGAGTTTAGACCAAACGAATAAAGCAAAGAGGCAGTCACCTCCGCACCAGTCATAAGTGTCGGGAGCAAATCTAAGCCTTTCATTGTAATCACAGAGCTACTGGAACGTCTCATCATTCTCGATTTTTAAAAAAATTTCACACATCTGTTAATCTTTCCTTGCTGGCGCAGCGCTTTAAAGCCACGCTGCTTCTCTTTAAATTGCCTAATACCAAACCAGGAATGCGACCAAAGCCTATCGCACTTCAAACCCACGTTGCAATACGTTAACACAGTAGCCCGATCGAACGAAACGCCGCCCGCCAAAAAAGAGTCGGGCCTCGATTGTACAAGCGTGGACGCGAGCAATAAGTGATCGCTTAGAAAGCGACTAAAGCACCGAAGAATCGCGGAGAAGATGGCACTTGCCCATATTCAACTCTTCAGAATTCAAGGTCTATCGTAATTCTAAGATCCTGAGCAAATGATAAATTCGAGCTATCAAAAAACACGAAGCCTACCGCTTACCCGATCATCAAAGGCCTCTAGCTCATCGAGAAGAACGTGCATGTTTAATGTACAGCCACTAACATTATGACCCTGGGTGGTCTTCTTGGGTCGTATTGATGACTACCGACTGAGACTTTTACGACGTCGGAGATGCATGCCAGATTCACTATTGGCAAACTGTGGGCAAGGAGTGAGTCGACAATGTCGCGCGAATACTAGCCGACTAGCTTTTCTGACTAGGCAGATTGATCTAATTGTGGAAGCCTGGCGGTGCAAGGGTCCTCTTTGTCTTTGTATTCACGTGTGTCCTTCTTCAATCCAGCTAGACCTGTATATTGGATCTACTATAATCCTGCTAAAAAATGATATGATGAAGACGCTAAATGGCTTTAATATTCCTTGACCTACCACACTATTAAACCACAATTCAAGAGTTGATAATCTAACCCCAATTTTTAGTCCAATGTCTGAATAATAACTAAAATAAGACGACGATTTATTCCATACGAATCTTTTAAGTCGAACATGATGCGAGCAACAATCCAAGCCGATGGTTGCTAAGCAATGTCTCCATCAGCTGCTTTAAAGCACGATTTGGATGAAGTTGTGACTTGGTGAGAGGCGTTCGGGTCAAAGGGTCGAAACAGCCATTCACTTCAAGGTGTTGTTCAATCAGTGAGCGTTCGTACGAATTGCCATCGGGTGTCGTCACTGGGTCATCCATCAGCTCCAAGCTCAGCGGACAGTGAAAAAGCTCCATCATTTGAGTCAGCGTTTTGTCAGTTTCTCCACCGGTAATCACTCCATTTTCATCCTTCGAATCGACAATATCAATTGCGTTGCAAAGTTTGTCTGATGAAAGCAATGTATCATAAATGCCCTGACGCAAAAGTCCAACAACCTTCATTTCCATTAAAATACTACGCTTCAGCACCGCCGCCGATATAGGTGTAGTCGGCAAACACACTGAGGCTACTGATGCTGCACTTGCTCGATCAAATGCTTTTTCAAGAAGTTCCAGTGCTTCGTCGTACATTTTTTGAGCTCGACGACATTTGCCTTTCCAGAGATAAATCGCAGCCTCGCTTTCAACCGATACGCCAATGATATCATGTGCTATACTCAAATATTGCCACGCATTATCACTTTCGTCAAGTGCAAAAAAACACTTGGCACACGAAACATAGGCACGAACACGCTGCCTTATTGTCTCCGAATCTTCTTTACTGCCATGATCGGATACACAAGACGTTAAACTACACGTTGCAGCCTCCTGGTAACACACAATTGCAGCTTGAAAGTCTCGTCGGACAAAATAATCGTCACCTTTGGATAATTGATGGCGCATATAAAACGGATTTTCATGCGAAGTCGTAATTTCCATTGCCTGAATTTGTAGTTCTGGTGATAACGTTGCCATTGCCGCCAAGTAGCTTGCATTTTCCTCCCATAAATGTGCCAAACCATGAAAAATTGCTGCTTTGTCACCACCAAGTTTCTGAATAGCCCGAAAATCAGGTGCAACAAGATCAAAGCGACTTAAACGCAGATTTGCTGTCATACGGTACGCAAAACACTTCACATGTTCGGTATTATCAGGCAATTCGTCCAGTGCTTTTGTCAATTCTTCCACTGCCACTGGGTATTTTCTGGCAAAGAATGCCTCGACACCTCGCTCCATCGACGATTGTTGAGCTGGAGTGATACGCCACGCACACCACATGGCTCCACCCTCTGTACTTGAGGCTTCACGAGCTCCATCAGGTGCCGCTCGAGTCAGTACATGACGTCTCTTACTGTCCAACATTTCGGCAGTCGGTGCGTACAAAAATTCCCGTTGGTACGGATTATATAGTGCAAAAATATCTCTTTCTTCGACACTTAAAGCTACAAGTTGCCACTTTCCAGCCGGTCCAGGTGGTTCATTCTGTTTTCGCCATGTAAATACGCGACTTCTTGACTTGCCTCGTGCATCTTTTTTAAATTTAGCATAATCCGCAGCGTACAGATATTCGTCCCATCGTACATTTTGAATCAAAAACGTGTCTGTATGGACATCAGACGGAATTAATCGCCATTGAGCTTTTGTACGATCTTTATCATTCGGCCACACAGCTCCATCCGTCTCGCTACGATCTCCAACCCAACATAAGGCGTTGCGTCGGTCATTATCAAACGTCCCAGCATTGCCAGCTGCGTACATCATTTCTTCCTTGCTCGAATCACCCTGTCGGTATTCACTACGTCCTGTTCTCGAAAGAATCTTAAGTTCCAAAGACTGTCCGCTTGCTACTGCACGCAGCGTTGGATTCACCCATGCATACCAATAACTTTCAGCTCGTACACGAGCACTACCTTCCAAATGACTCATAAGCTTAAGCAAAAAAAATGCTAATGGTAACTGTGGAACCTTGAGCTGTCTCGCTTCAAGGGCTCTCAACGCATTACCGCCACCTCCAGCACCATTACTAGGCTCCCGTAAAGCAGAGTTCACACTGTGTAACACAGCACATCCATCTAATGTCCAATGCCAGTTCGGAAGTACTTCAAGGAATGTGAGCAACACAGGAATGTCGAACAATCCAGCAGCGTAGAAGTCACGCAACGTCGCCTCTAAATATGTTTTGCGACGCGATTCGAGCTCAGTCAGACGCAAGAAAGTTGCACGCGCACGATCTGGTTCCTTCTGTAGTAAATGAGCGCGCACTTCGGCCAGTAAAGGCTCAACATTAGACGCTAAGCGAGTCGCCGTGTCGTCCAGACTGCCACAGTGCATGAATCAGAAGCTTTTCTTTTTCGAGAATAGAAATCATGGGTAAGAAATCTCTGGGAATACAAAGAGAATATTCAGCCAAACCTTAATTTTAATCTTTTGTAAACAATTTTTTTAAATCAAAACCTCAATTTTTGGATATTCGAGAAAACACAGCGACATAAAGGAAGCCGTCGGCATAGGCAAAAGTTCGATACAATTCCACGATGGAGACAGTAGCAGGAGTATCAATGCCATGTACTACTAGCTGCAATTCTTGTGTTTTCGAATCAAATGCAATGTCTGAAGGGAACAGATCGGGCAACAAATAATGTAGCACTTCCAGTAATGTTTTATCGCGACCTAAATTATGAAAGCATTGCTTAGTAGGTCAATACTTTAGTCAGGTATATATTTGATAACATCAACAAACCATCTTGTAATGGAGCAATCGGCATCTGGATTGCAGGTTCAGTGCCAAGATGTACACGTAGTGGCAATAATCGCAACGCCGAGACGTTCTCGCCTCCATCCAAATGCAACTCATGTGTTGCTTGCCGATAACTCTCGTAATCATCTGCATCCCATCCCGTAAATGAATGTCTGCTCTTTTAATTAACCATCATAGGTTACTTACTATTTGTTATGCTCGTCCAAATCTGAGTTTGCTGCGCTTCAGGCAAACCCATCACTGCTTTTGTCGAGCCCATGCGTAGGAACGTAGCCTGCTTTAAGCTGTGCATAAAGTGCGACTCAATGCTTGATTCATTCTCACAAGGCAATAGTTTGTCTCGAGGAAAATTTAGAAAGTGAACTGTTATTGCCCAAGGCAAATCGTTAGCATCACTGTCGGCGCTAGGACCACACAATGTGTCCCGTAACAGACCAAACGGAAGGTGCCAATGCAATGGAACACCCTTGGCTTCGAACCAAATGGATGCACCCTGCATAATAGAAATTGGTGGCGCCGAATCTCGAAGATACTCAATCACATCGCGTGTCTGAGAGACCAAGTAGCTCATACGCGGCACCATAGCCTAGACAAATGAGCACCTGTAGTTGGAATGACATTTTTATAAAAATGTACATAGAGAAACTCACGTAAAACGGACGTGGAGCATGTAGCGTAGTGACTTCATTTGGATCAAGCGTAAATACGACCGGAATACGGCCATCCCACACACGCAGGTGGAGAAGAGTCTGCGGACTTAAGGAAGACGCCTGTGTCATAACTTACGTCTTGGGTATCATTGTTTGTATTTTAGAGCAACTTCTTCTTGGAGCAACGTTAGAGCTACGATGGGGCGTTTTCAATTTGCGACACTTGTGCATAACATGAGCAGAAAATGTTCCTATAGAGGGTTTACATTATTAAGAAAATGTAATGTCAAGTGCTTTTTTCACTTTACGTCGCGGATACCTTACAGTCGACATAATCAAATATCTACATATGAAAAATGTGGTAAATCATATAAGTCGTGCGAGTATCTAATTCATTCAAGCACTTCGAATTAGCTTCTATCAGTGAGCAAATTCCAAAGAATATTGAAAGCATATCATACTATCAGTAAACATATGTAAGATAGTTGAAATTGAGTTCAATAGCTCAACAAACGTCTGCTTTTGGAGCTTTGAGAACATCGTAAGTACATTTGCAGCCCAATACAATATGTCTTAAACTTCAAATTGACGTAACGAGTTATGTAATGAAGGTTAGTTACTCAACTTGCATCGTAACACTTGTTTGATCCTCTTTATCATCCTGCTAGCAACACATCTCATAATTCAGTAAAGAAACCGTGTCTCAGTTTCTAGAGAAAGTACCATGTAAATTATATGATAGCAAAGTGTGCTTCACCGATCATTCAAGCAGATCCTATTTCCTTGCTTCCTTAGCCCGATCACCATTTTCGAATTTTCCACGGTCTCCATAAAAGTTTCTAGTTAACTTGCTGCTATGATCACCTGGCAAACTGTTGGTCTCCTCGCTGCTACTGCCGCCATTAACCTCGCAGATGCCAAAAAGCTTTCGATTGGCGTGTGCTACGTCCCATGGCACAATCCACTTGTCAATTGGGATGTGATTTCAACTGACTTGGCACTGGTCTCGCAGCATTTTTCTAGTATCCGCACGTATGAAGCGCAATTTGGTAGCATCAATGCCATTAGCGTTGCAGCAGCTGCTGGTCTTCGTATCGCTGTGGGGGTGCAGCTTGCAGACCCTCAACGCATTGATTCCGAGATTCAAGCAGTTTGTGCTGGATACGCTCAGAATCCATGGGCGGTTGAAGCTGTTTACGTCGGCAACGAGGATCTAAGACATGACAGCTTCGGTAGTTACACGGTCGATCAGCTTAACGGCTACATCCAGGCTGTAAGGAGTTGTGTTGGCAACACCCCAGTTGGTTCGGTTCAACGTGTTGAAGAATGGCTAAACGCTGAGGGTTCAGTAGCTTTAGCAAGCAATTGCCAAGTCATCGGTGTCAATATCCATCCATTCTTCATGCCAGGTGCCGAATCGCCGATTGAAAAGCTTAACTTTCAATGGCAGCAAATGGCGAACAAATTTGGTGCGGAGAAACTCCGTCTTACGGAGACAGGCTGGCCGTCCGCTGGTGAAAGCTATGCTGGCAACATCCCATCGACTGGTGTTTTGACGCAATACTTTTATGACTTTGTCTATGGCTGGTGCCCTAATAGAAGCCAGTCGTACTGGTTTATGATGTACGACACTGCGGTGAGTTACTCGGGTGCAGAGTACGACAAACACTTCGGCCTCTTTGGAACGGACAGATCGGAGCATATTACTTTGCCATAAGTTCACACCTTGCTGTATCTTGTTCGTTTTCATAAGTAATTGAACGACCAGCAGTGTTTCCACTGCCAGAAAATGAGTAAAAGCGTGAGGAGACGTTTTGATTATACAAGATGCTTGAACCTCTGGAATACGACGAAGATTTTGACAGCACGTATCGTTGTTATAAGACCCACAGTTAATCAACATCTCTATGTCGATTAGATCTTTTTTAAAGTATTATGGAACGCTTTCTTGCTATACCTCAGCATATTCTTAGCAGAAGCGTAGCTTTAAGTACTTTGGCATCAGTAGACAGCTCTCACAACTCAGATCAAAATTGCTGCATGGAAAGATACTATACTAGGCATCCTTCTCGTGCGATAACATTGAGCGAATTTCACCAGAATAGTTCGGTTTGGACTTACGCTGACTTCGATGTTCAGGAGTGAGGAGCCTTGTCTCTTGGATATGCGTTTATGTTTATTACTTACTAAAGCATCGAAAAGTTTCAGCAGCACATTCTTTTTTAACTCAGTAGACAATTCCTTGTATGATCAGAAATTCGTGATAGTGCTAATAACAGCTCAGCCTTGATCGCTAACATCGCACCTCGATCATAGAGCAGTAATCTGCTGAAAACGATTTTGTTGGCAACGTAACATCAACGTTTGCTCCTTGGCAATTCTCACTGAACGACAGCTATCACAACACTACCCCGTCAAACTTAGCTTTTAGCAGTACAGTATGACCGTATTACAATAATACGTACAAATTTTGAAATTTACAATCCGGATTTATTTGAGGACATTTGTCATCGATAAAAACATGTTTAGGAACCACTTCGGTGGTCATCCGTAAAAAATAAAACATGTTCATTCTGTCCAAATCAACCGACCCGTCGGACACATTAGTCGTAAAATTTGAAGCAAGTCGCACGTGCGCATGTGTGAGTCCATGAATGCAAGCTTATCATCTTTTGCGGCGAAAATCTTAGCCCTGTTTGTACAGGGCACATACGTAATTGTATATTAAGAAATTTGCAGAAAGTATGTGAGTAGAAATGTTTTGGCAAAACACAATAACGAGTAGAATGATCTGCCCTTGTTTGTGCAGCAAATGTTTTTCAAACAAATTATCGTTGATGAGCTTATTGTTGCCAGAGATGATGACCAGCTTTGTTGGCTCTCGAGATCCAAATGTCGGACTATCCACGATGAAGGTCGCAATCAGAAGCCAAAACGACGAATAGTTTGTGCATTCATGACCAATCAGGACCAAATTCTAATTCCTTGCGCACATCAATACTGCATTTAATGCACATCACATTCGCGCTTTGAGTAAAGATCACTAACTAATAAGATTTATTCTGGTGTCACATTTGTCAAACGGAGTATCTGTGGTGCCAACCAAAGTGTACTCAGTAATGTCGATTATGATTTTGGCTTTCTTAAGGCCAAAACGAAGATAGCTGTTCGCTGACGCAAGATATCTATTCCCTGACGCATGTCTTGTCACTTAGCACGTACCTAATGAAGCCATCAAACGCCTTAGTCCAATTAAACAACCCATTAGAATATTTCATGTAATCGCAACATACCCTGAATCTTTACAGACATAACTAGAATGATAAGCGTCGGAAGTATCGCTCGAGTCTGAACGAAAATGTTATTTAACTATGATGAACCCAAGGATTGTCAATTCCAAAAGCCGGAACTCTACAGTCGACAGCTTTATGGCCAGGGTCAGGAAAAAGTCCAACATTTGAGCTCTGATATTTATCTTAACATACTTTCTGTCTGTGAAATACAAGATAATGAATTTTATTAATTGGTCTTTGTAATGAGAGTGTAATGCTCTACATATTTATCATGTAATATTTACATTAGACTTGTATTTCGACCTTAACAGATCCCATACAGAGGTTACTGATAAAATATGTGGAAAAAAAGAAGCTGTAATTATGGCTGTAAACGTTCCCGCTTGCAAGGTACTGAACAGATTCGAAGATTGGCGATATTCTTGTAGCCAAGCAGAAAGAGTTCGGAAATTCACGATATACCTTGCGCAACCTTTGGTCTTGAAATGATCGAACTTGGTTGTAGCGATCTCTCACGTTTTCATTCTTCATTCCTCAATTTTCTTGTTGCCCGAACACTTTGATCTTGCGCTTAATCAGCCGAATGAAGTTCGCAATTACCCTCGCTGGTCTCGTAGTCAGCCTTGCTGACGCTAAGCTAAGTACTGGTATCTGCTACGCTCCATGGCACCACACCATTATCAATTGGACTGTGCTGCAGGAAGACATGAGGCAAGTAGCACAGTACTTTTCAAGTATTCGCACGTTTGAAACAGTTTTAGCTGGTGTGAACGCGATTGACATGGCTGCAGCTGCTGGTCTTCGTATCGCTGTGGGTGTGCAACTAAAGTTTCCTGACCGTATTGATGCTGAGATCCAAGCTGTCTGCGATGGGTATGCTCGAAATTCTTGGGCTGTCGAAGCCGTTTACGTTGGCAACGAGGATTTGCGAAATGGCAATCATGGCAGATACTCATCTGAAGAGCTTGCTGGCTACATCCATCGAGTGCGTGCATGTGTGGGAAATACGCAAGTTGGTTCAGTGCAGCGATCCAATGAGTGGCTAGATGAGAATGCGTGGAAACTCGCAGATCACTGCGACTGCATCGGTATTAATATCTACCCATTTTTCACGCCTGGCTCGCAACCTTCGATTCAGAAGCTACAGACACAATGGGATCAAGCAATAGCAAAGTTTGGCCAAGAAAAGGTTCACCTCACAGAGACCGGGTGGCCGAGGGCTGGCGAAAATTATATAGACAATAAACCGTCGATCGATGGTATGCAGGTGTACTTGAATGACTACGTTAAATGGACTGTTGGTAAACCTCAATCATACTGGTTTATGATGTATGATACGACGGTGAGCTACACTGGCGCAGAATACGAAAAGCATTTTGGTCTTTTCAGCACAGACATGATCCCACAAGTGAACATCCCTTCGAGTCCATGGCAACGCCTTCGTCGGGGATAATTGACGTAGCAGCGTCTTCTTAATACTTGGGTAGCACCAGTAGCTTTTATTGATACAGATGCACTAAATTAAGTTATTCGGTGATTTACATTCTCAATGTTACTTACATTTCTATTTTCGGTCAATAAAAAACAAAAAAACACATATTATTAAATTCCAGGTCCGTAGCCACAGAAAATCCCTTTCCTAAATTTAGGATATTGAGATGGCCCTTGCTCCACGTCTTGATTGCACTCTCCAACCTAGGCGATCAAGCGATAGAATGAGATCTTACGTATAACTCCTCGGCATAAAAGACGTTCCCATCGGGCAACTTAAAGCGACAGATGTCGCCGGTATTCGCACCGCGGAACCAGTTGTATCGGGTGTGTTCGGACTTCTTGTCTGCTCGTTGAAAAAGGTGAGAGTTGGCGGACTGTGTCCAGAGTTAGGAGCTTTGGTGTTTGATCCTCTTAAGGAAATTTCTACCATCTTCGTTGAGGGTCTTAAATCGCTGCGGCTCGTATCTAGACAAGACAATCCACATACTTTCTTTCAAGTAGCGACGGGTTCGTATATTCATACAGAGTACGACTTCCGTGCCGCAAGAGCTGATAATATAAGCTTCACGAGCCAGCAGCAATGCACCTCAACCAAGCTGAGGAAGGGACCAGAAAAATATTAGCTGCTGAACGGCACCGCAACATCCACAGAGGATGAGTCTGCGGCAGTACAATATATCTGCAGATTGATACCCCCTTCGTTCTCATCTAAGATGTTTGAAATGTCGGTCTCCAACAAACGAGCGAACTATGAACTCTGACAAGAAAAAGACGTACATCAGTGGGCGCAGGGGAAACGTCAAGGAGGGGCTGTGTATTCTTTTGTACCTTGTGAAGGTCGTGGAAAATGGGAACCAGCATCTAAAGAAAAGTGGCTTTTTTCAGAGAGTGGCACTAAGAGTCCGAAGTAGTTCGTTGGTAGATGATATTGACGACCTGGGCCCAATGAGGACAAGAATTGATCTGATACATTCAGAAGCGTCCTTCAATCACAAACAACGCGCGCCTTTTAAAAACGGTATACTAAATACGGAGGCATTAGAGGTGCCAAATACGGATACAATGTCCGTTGGTCTTGCGATGAGGATAATGGTCAGGATATCGGAGATTCTGTTAATGCTTCAAAATATTTGACGACTTTGACAGCGTGGAATGCTGTCTAGCTCTGAGCTAAAATTGTGATATACGATCATATCCCGATGTAGGATGTGGCTGGAGCGCCAAGAGCGGTGGATCGGCTGGATGTCGTAAAGGTATGTTACCACGTACTTTTTCGAGGTGGATGCAGCAGTCAGCTGCAATCTCAGAACGAGACAAGAGATTCCTTTTACACAGAGCCATCCATATGGTATATCATTTGAAGTAATTAGACGACTACAGTGTAAAACAACTTGGAGCTGTTGTCCTCTGTGCCTTGGCCCACAAAGAGTAGAAGCGGGTGGATGGTGCAATCTCTCGTACCAGAGCCAGCGAAACTGAAGAACGACCTGAAGTTGCGAGCAGAAGGACTGGGCTTTGGAGGTAAGAAGGATGGATTATCCTTTCTTTGATGTGACGATACTGCTGAGTCAGCAAATCCGCATGAAGGTTCTATCGTACGGAGAAGTGTAGCTTCTCGAATAAGTGGTGAGAAAGATGAGTAATTCGTGAATGAAAAGGTCGATGTTGTTCGAAGAATGGCCTTTCTTTACTTTTCCGGCAGATAGTCTTATTGAAGAGAGCTAGAGCTAGAACAATCATACCGTGGGTTTACTTGCAAGATAGTGAGTAACAAAAATGGTACGGCCGCTTCTTCCAAGGAGGGATAAAGCTCGTCATCTGTCATGAGTGATATTTTTTGTGCAAGAATTTGTAAGGCAGTGATGTTACCAAATTGACACGGCATCTTTAAGGAAAAGCAAAGCTCGTCATCATTTATGGATGAGTTTTGTCATTGAGGACTCTCGCAGGACACTGAGGGCGATGAGTCGGACATTTAGTCTCATGTATTCTATCTGAGTTCTATCTATCCGTTGTGGAAGTAGTATTACGACGCGATGAAAAGATGTTCGCAACGTGTGTTACCCATAGATAGGAAATACGTCATGGAAATAGCTATTTTTTCGCGTTATGTAGCAATAGCCGTAGCCGACAAAACCGTGTGACGTCTTCAAAAACTCTCTTTCATGCAAAGCATGACGCAAGACTGGTGTCAGAGAGTAAAGCACCCATATCAGCGTCGACGTTTTGTGTCAGATAGGCTAACGGCAAATGACGAATCGTGCATGTATATATCAAACTCAATGCAGCCACTATTCCGACAAAAGCTGCATTTCTTGAAAGGATGTGCTGCAAAACAGCATGGCCGGTTGTATCTTGTTTGGAGCTATGAACCAGGTTGATGGATATCATCAATTGCTTTTCAAAAACAATCAACTTCTTTGCGATGCGCTGGTTATGCCACAGGGACCGTCAAACGCGCCAGCGACGCTCAATATTCTGGTGATGCAGCTGTTCAAACCTCAACAAGACTGGGTAAAAATAGACTCGTCCATAATACACAGAGCACGGTTAACTCGATGTGGAGAACCACATTCAATACACGCGACAAGCGCTCAAGTGATGTCATACTGTGGGAATCAAGGCCTAAGGGCAAATCCCACAAGAATAAATGCTATTGTAGCTTGACCAGCGTCTCTAACTACATAATTTTCAAAAGGTGGCTTGGCCCGGCCAACTACTTGCACAAATGTAGCATAAATTATACTGACACAGACAGCACCACCTCTCATCAATCTTTTTTTTGAGACTGTCGAATTGTAATGAGGTGTGGCAGAACAGGCGGCCTTCAAACAGTGAAAAAGCCACGGGCAGCCCCATTTTGGCTCGTACAAATCAACATCGGTCAATTCATGTCATTAATGACACTTCAGCCTTTCTGAAAGACTGTGCTTTATTTCAAGTAGATAACTGAGCGCGTGATCGCGTTCTGCCGGCTTACACTTACTATAAAAATACTTTATTCGTAACTAGAAGTTACTTGCAGCAAGTCGTACCCTAGTCAGGTTCAAAGTGCACCTGGTTGACCCCAAGCCGTTTTCTTCTGTACAGATCATAACGTCTCCACCAAATCTCTCCCGAAGAATGGCAACATGTGTTTCTTTTGTAACTATATGGGAAGGCATCAATTATGTCATTATAATGTGGGAGCAAATGCGCTTTTGCGTCACCCAGTTTATTGTTTGTTGCTTATCATAATAGAATCGTCTCCATTTGACAAGGCGATACGTCCAGGCTGAACGCAACATATGTTGCACTGCTAGGATCTTTGGAAAGGAAGGAGTCTGAGACTCAGATGATGTTTTATCAAAGCACCCGTTCGCATACCTGCCCCATTCCTTATCCCGTGGTTTGTTTTATTGCAGCACTGATCTGCATGAGTACGATGAGATCCTTACATACAGAATATCAACCAAGGCACATGATACCTTTTTGAGTGATAGCCTCGGTATTGTAGACTTTAAAATCTTTTGAGCACGACGGCGTATCTCGCTACTATCCTCAACAATGTGACCCATGAAATTATAATCAAACTGCTCCTAAACAATGTGTTCCGCCAACGGTAGCCATTGTGTCAGAGAGACACGTCTGCGCTATACAGCAAAATTTTGGTGACTTTTTTGTTCGAAGTGCTGACTTTTTTGTTCGAAGTGCTCCGTACCAGACATGGTACATCAACCGCTAACAATTTGCAGGCAAACGGTCAGTCAAAATCCAAAAGTGAACTGGTATCTTTTACTCATATACATTAATACAAACGTGTCAAATGCAATACGGTATAATTGTTCAAAGTTTTAACTCTTCTCGATGAGAATGGTGTCGTCCACTACCACGTGAAACGCCTTGTGGGTCGACGTCGTCGACGGGGTTTTTCAATGTCTTGTGAAGTGGCGGAGATACCATACACTCACCCCTGTGAGAAACCACCGAGCTCGCGGGAGCGTTATGGATTGTTTCATAAGTCGCAGGGCGACGATGCGTAGGAAGTCGGCGTTGCACCTTGAGCTTGGGAAAGTTAAATATAAGATGAATTACAACGCGCACGTCCACTTCCTTGTGTTTTCGCTGTAAGATGGACAGCGAGTGAAGTGTCTAGTACCGCTGCACGCACCGCATAAAGAGCTCCTCATCATCTGCAGCGGTTTCGCCAGAGTCGAGCACCACAGGAATAGTCCGCATTGTGGGTACAGGAGCGCCGCCTTTTTAAGCTCGAAGTTGAGCGCTGTACCGATCCATTGAGCTTTCTTGTGGTACCAAAACGCGAGCTCAAAGAGATTTCCGCTGATCAAGTTCAGCTTGTGTTGTGGCTGGGGGCACGACTAAGTAGATGGCGGCGTCAGCGGGACCCGATAATTAACAAGCCCGTTTACGTAGAACGGTGTATAGCTGATACACGAATGCACTGCACTGTTTGAGAGCAAATTTATCGAGTGGCAACATAACGCAATAGCGCTTCGGCTTCTCAGCGCAAACGCGGCGAAAAACATCTTCAACGACGCGATTTGCGGGGTCACTCTGACCATCAGTCTGCGGAAGGTCCGCTGTTGTCATAGTCAACTGGGTGCCCAGCACCCTGAAGATTGTAGAGCAAAACTTCCCAGCGAAGCTTGGGTCCCTATTATTGACAATCGACCCCAGGGGTCCATGTTGTCAGAAGACACGATTGACAGATAGCGTGGCCGTACTCACACCGTCGATGATGTCCGGTATCAGCACAGACCACCACACCCGTGTTGACCGCCGAGTCATTCGGCAGGCCAAACACAAACTCCATACTCATTGACTGTCAATACTCGGAGGGTACCGGTAAGCTGGCCAGCGGCGCCGACGCATTCAGAAGGGATTCACCTTCTGCAACGTCTTTCACGTGCGCATATATGTGCTCGTGCATTTGGACAGCTTGGGGTACCAATAGTGGCAACTCACCGAACTGTACGTCTTCTCACGACCGAGATGATCACTGCGTGGGGTGTCGTGGGGGCTCATAGAAGATACTGTATTTCAAATCCTCATCGCGGAGAACCATAATTTGTGGCGTGTCCGTTGAATCGGTGCTATAATACAGCAACCCGTTATTCAACGAATATCGGTTTAGCCGTGCGCGCAATCGCGCCTTGTTCATATTTGCAAACCCCTTGCTCCCAAGAGCCTGTAGCAAGGGTTTGCAAAAACGGACAAGAAATTGTGTAGCACACATATATCACCCGCGAATGCGGCGCGGATTGAATTCGTCGCTGACGACGTCACCGTCGTGAGATGAGCAAGCTCATAATCCGGTCTGCGTAACAACGCATCAGCCAAAGCATTCTGATTTTCTGGCTTATACTTTATCTTCAAGTTATATTCTCTAAAGAAGGAGAGACACCTATCGTGCGAGTCGCAGTGCGTAATGTCACATGATCTATGTGGATCTCGAACGGCTTTGTGCCTAGCAGGTGCACCCTGAACTCGACAAGTGCATACTTTATCTCATGTAATCCCCTGTCGCGGACTGGGTAGTTCTTCACTGCAGCCTTTAGCTGGAGAGAGTCGAACGCGATCACCCGATCTTGCCCCTCAGCGTCTGCATGCAGCAGTGCACAGCCGATGGCAAAGTCCGAAGCGTCACAGACGACACTAAAAGGACGATCGGTGTCTGGCAACTTCAGTACTAGTGCATGAAGGAGGCTGCCTTTAACCCTGTCAAAAGACTCTCGATGCTTGGTGTCCCACCACCATTCCTTATCTTTCTTGATGAGATTAGGCAATGGCCGTGCCATTTAGCATAACCTGCGCTATACTTGTGCAAGTAGTTGGCGAGGCCAAGCCATTTGCGCACGTCCTTTTGGCTCTTTGGAATGAGGATCACTAAAATGAGCTTTCTTCGGGACCGAAGATGCACTTGTCGGCATTAGCATACAGCTTGTTCGTGCGCATGCACTCGAGCACCTCTCTCAGAAGGATGATGCGGTTTTTCCCATCTGCCCTCCCGTGCCCCGCACGACTGTGGACGAAGGTGTCGTCAACGCATGTCAGTGCATACGCCCTATGGAGCCTACGTAATTGCGTCACAAGAAGATTACATGCTGCTGGTACATCTGACAGTCCTTGGGGCATCACCAGCCACTCCCAGAGTATCCAGATTTGAGTACTTACCGCTGTCAGCGGAATATTACTCGCTCTCATGAGCACTTGGTTATACCCATCGACCAAGTCGAGTGCGCTGTCCTTTGTACAGCCAGCCATATTGTTCTGGGGAACATCTTTGCGAGGAATAGACGACTGTGTCGGAATGGTGGCAACGTTTAGCTTATTGTAAGCTTGAACGCTACGCCATTTGCTGTTCGACTTTCGGACACAAAACTTAAGTGTCGAATGGGGAGACTTGCTCTAACGCACCATTCAAGCGTCGTGCTTTGTACGGAAAAAGGCGTCAGTGACGTCACACTGCTCTTTGAGCAGGGCCATTGGCGTGTTACGCAGTATTTGGTGCCAAGAACCAGGTCAATCTCATGACGCACATCACGGTCCGGGGTAATATCGACGTCGGGTCATTGGGGACGACGTCTGGAACACCTTTACCAAAGGATAGTACGGGTCCGAGGGATCCTTCTTGACCAACGATACACTTCGCGCGTTCAGCACCCTCTTAGTGTCCTCCAGGATAGCTTCATCCAGAAGCGACGACGAATTGATCTCCTCGTTTGGTCTTATAATGACCACCTCGGCTAATTGCCTGTCTTCAAGGCACCGCTAAATTTTTGAAGAACATCTCATCCAGCTCAAGAAGAGCATCCACCGCGGGAATAGCGTCGTGGGTGACGTAACCGTCGTCTCTCCCGTCATATCGTTGACAAGGGTATATAGCCGTACGCTACGTCTACGAACCTGGGTCAGGGTCGACTCCCTGCGTCTTGTAGATAACATGCGGCATCGCCGTTGTCTCTCCACAGAGGATTTACGTCTTATCAAGACCAGTGGGAACACGCACTCGGCGTCATCCAGTGTCCCCACTCCCTGCTCCATCGGAGCCTTGATGTTATTAACAACATCCGACTATGAGCTGCTATTTCTGCGGTCGTCGTTTTAGGAATTAGTGCCACTCCACGCGCATCAAAAGAGCCTTGCCCAATATGCCTCGGACCTTGTCTGACCATGCCACTCATGGCATGCAGCTACTGCTTCGTAACGTGAGCAGTGCTCAGTGGGTTACGTTCCACTCCATGTTCATTACAAGGGCCTCGCCCTTGATGCCTCGGCCCTTGGCTGACCATGCCACTCTTGGCATGCAGCGACCGCTCCAATATTTGAGCAGCGCACAGTGGGTTACGTGCCACACCACATTCAGCTCTCGAGTCACTCTTGGGACTCCTGGCCAATTCGGATACTCCGATATCCAGCGCATTAACCTTCCCGATCCAGTGCCCGCGACAATAGCGCTTCCATTTCTTGGCAAAGGTGGATTCATGACGCACCAAAGCTCCGCCAGGGGCCGTGAGCGTAGTGCCCACAGTCTTCGACCTCCAATCAATCCATGAATCATGGTGTATCAACCATGCCATACCAAGCATAAGGCCATACCTTGCATCCAAGTCTAAGAGTAAGCAGCGTCCCACGTTATCAAAGTCAAAAACTTGAAACCGAGGTCCACAGGGACCCTCGACACAGTGACACAAGTCCCCGTCGCTAAGCAAACAGTGTCGGTGTCACTTAACCGTGCCTTCAGCGCCTCGGCATACTGCTGATTTCCTTCGATCGTGGAGTGTCTAGCATAATTGTCCGAGCCCCCAGAATTGATAAAATCCCCATGGCTTCTCAAAGCTCTTCACGGTCGCCTTTAAAACCAGCAAGCCCGGCTTGCATACACGTTCCGTGTTCAAGTGCATGGAGCTACAGAGCTTTTAGGGGCTAGACCCTGCTGGCCTCCACCTCTTTGAGGCACAACCCTTTCCTAGTAGGGCGCCCCGCGCCTACTAGATTTCCTCGTTCCCCCGCGACAAACAATACCAGTTAGAAGCGGAACTTCGGTTTGACGAACCTTTACGCGCCTTGCCCAGGGGACAATTAGTCTGAAAGTGACGTGTCTCCAACGACAAAACACCGTCGGGTGTTTAGGGAGAAAGAGCCCGGAGCTCTCCCTCCTTGTTCTCAGCATAGCTGAGATCTATGTGCTCAGGCCCGCTCGACGAGCTCTGAGTGTGTGCATTTCAACCAATCGTGCCGACTTGAAGTTGAGTTCGGTATGCAATGCCACGTTCGCCGATTCTTAAGGAAGACGGATGCACACGGAAGACTTCCATTCTGGCCACGCCAGCGTGGAAGCCCTCCATAGAGACGGTTACTGCGACCGCCTCGGGGAGAGAAATTGTTGCCATTCCGGCAATGAGAGCTCTCAGCTGTTGGACAAAGTCCACTAACTCCTTCATGTCCTATCGGAACGCATGGAAACACAAACTCCCGCTATATGTCTGATTAGGCAGAGAGAACACTCGCAGAAGCTGACACTTCGGCTCCTTCCAGGAGGGGAACGCAGCTTCAACCGAAGCACCGCACGTTGATGCTCATTCTCGCGCTAGGCCCTCGAGCTTGGAGCTAGCTAGCGCAACGCGCTGTCGCTCATTTTGAAGCATGGCGAATGCCATAGCCATCTTCACCCCAGAGCAGGAAATTCCTCCATCCTTACCCTCGAAGGTCTGAACGCTCACCATGAGCGGCCTGGGTCCGATGGAATCATCTTTTGCCGATGGTGGCATCACAGAGGCAGTTGCCGCTGAGAGCTTCTGCTGTAAGTGCTATACCATAGCTTTTTATAACTTGAAAGATCTCTTGGCGTGCGCTTATGGCCTCGGGCCCGTGCGCAACGAGGTGCTCCATGTCCTCAGGGCCCAGCAGAACATCAGCTTTTAAAGCGTCCTGCATACCCTGGGTTGAATTTAAGAATTCCTCCATCCTCACAGACAATCAGTCGTCACGACTCAGGCGTAGTTTGACTACGAGTGCTACCAAGCGCAGCGGGGTTGCCGTAGATTTTTGCTTAGAGGAAGCTTAGCTAAGTTCACCGACCTTAAGTTCTTTCCAGAAGCAGTACAAGGGTAGCGGATCGCGATTCGCTACTTCTAAGTATCAAAGCCTGCCCAAGGCAAACGAACACTTCAGCTCAAAAACGAAGCTGTATTTAATATTTTTAGTTGTGGTAGAGCTGCCAATATCTGAAACACTATGTTTTCCGAACTAGTATAGTAATACCTAGTTAATACAGTAAACTTTAATTAATATAGTAATATGCATTACTACTGGATATCCTACTTCTTGTTACGGTGTAGCCACACCACTGTGTGATTACACCAACTTGTGTAATTTACTCCTATGTACGGTCGCACAATCTTGTACCCGCCCGTTTTATACAAGGGTACGTGTAACCCCGTTACATTCATGCACTGTGGAATGTATCTGGAGTAAAACACAGTCTTTGGTAAGGCTGAAGCACATGAAATGGCTGCTCCGGATCCTAAAGCGTCACACTCAGGGCTCAAATGAAGGTTTTGCGCGCCGACTTGACGTATGCCTCTTTTGCCGCGCTCGGCATCATCGGAATTCTTCTCAGATATTGATGAAAAGCCGTGATATGTTAGCAAGATTCGCATTATATTTGCGCGAATAGTTAGCCAAGCTAGGACTTGACAAAGCATTTGGTATAATCTAAATTTGAATAAACATCACTCATGAATCAGAAGAGCGAACAAGACCTACTAACTTTTAGGGTATATGGGATGAAACCTACGAACCAAATCTCTATGCATCTGTTAGCGTTGAGTCATTGAATCAAAGTTCTTTGTGAGCAGGTTACGGCAACCACGTTACACAACATCAAATTGTTGAACTTATTGTGCTAATTTTGGCGATGCATGTCATTTGCGATTTGACTTAAGCCAAAGCATCTCGAGCAACGGATCGTCAATCTATCCATTCGCAAGCAATGACGTCATCAATATTCGTTTCGGCTAGCAAAATTTGCTTGATAAGCAGCAGAATACTCAGGTCATAAGCGCAGAATATTTGAAAATTAACAAGTTGTCCAAAAGGGGGCCAGTAGCAATTGTATCAATCACAACACTGTACAATTGTAAACAATTACTCTCAGTCGATTGGAAGCATTACACTTGATATAAGTATGAATTTCATAAGTGCTGGGCTTTCGATATTACTGAAGATTGTGGAACTCCGAAAAAAAGGGATCTTAAGAAAAGAAAGGCAGCTATAAAATAGATACATTGTAGAATGCATGTCATACTGCACCGTCTGTCACCTATCGATACTAGAGGAACCTGTCGTTTTTGCTACTCGAAGATAAATTTGGGAGAGCCTAAAAACATGGAATATTTCGTCATTTTTTGATAAAATCTACATGCGGTGAGTACAATACATAAAATGTTCTGCCATAATGTCAAATGTGTCGTCAATGACAAAGTATATTTAACACACAAAATAGCTCGCGAAGTACAAACAAGGCTATTTTGCTGTTTCAGAAAGACCACCAGAATTACAAGAATCATTTACACGTTCGGGTAAGTTCGAGATCTTTGTTCCATAGAGAAGCGTCAGTACTATTTGAATGCATCCCAGTACAAACCCAACGACATTTGGTCCAAAAATGAACATATCATCGATTAAAGCGGCATAGACACCCCAGCAAACACTGTTGGCTACATTAACGACTCCCATTGTAAATGGCATTGACGATGCTGTTTTGGTCCGAAGTACCCTAGCGATGGTAGCCAGCGGTGATACATACATTCCGATAGTTGTGCCAATGGTAACGAAGCCCAGCGTTGTACTTACTGCCGCGCGAGACTGGCCCGTGTATCCGTTTAAGGCGAGAATGCAATAAACTGTCACGCTCATACAAACAGCAAATGATCCAATGAACGCACACAGAACGAAACGTTTTTCGATCGACCATCGATAAAAGAAAATATTAAAAACAAGTCCAGTAATGCATCCCAAAATCGATACCACAAAAAGCGGGAAGATATTGTTGATGACTAAAGCGTACATCATGACAGCGTAGCAATTTGTTAAAAGCAGGAGACATGGCATCACGGACATGTCACCAGTACTGTGGTTCTGATGCATGCGTCGGAAATCTGGAAGTAGTGATACTCGTACCATCAGAGCCGTAACAATAGTCAGCCATTTAAAGACGTTTACAGCAATCTCGGGGCTGTCCATTACAAGGGTAAGAAATTACGATCGCTTTGTTGGGTACGATGGCAGATTTGAGCCAACAGTGAACTGACGACGGCGGTTGAGATAAATATGGTCTGCAGAGTGAGAGTTAAAAGGATGATGGAACATGATTGTCTTGATCTTTCAAACTAGCAGGATGCTCAATTCTCTTCATTTCTCCAAATACATCATGGTTAAATCACTGAAGACATTTTTTTTGTACTCAACATGTATGAGTTTTTTTACCAATAGCAATTTTAGCCAATATCAGCCTGGTATTAATTTAAAAGTCGCAAATTTTCACATAAGAGAATAATCTCAAATTTACAGCAATTATATAATTGTTCCTAATTGAGTATGATGGCAATCACGAGACAAGCACGATACTAATTTGATGCGAGATCATGTGCACTTGTAAGTGATGCCCGCTATTATAGGTGGAGTTTCCTGTCGAGTTAAACTATTTACAAATACGACATATTCTTAAAGCAATTCTAAAATCAAATGCACTAAATATATCAAGCTGAACAATTTTATTAATTGAAGTTGTCAATGTCAGTGGGACAGTTATTTTCTTCATTTAATACCTTGTCAGGCCAACTTAGCTGTTCCGATGAGCCCGAAAGCTGATCGAATCTCGGATAATTCTGATGCAATGCAATGACGTAGAAAAAATAAATTGCAAGATTGACAAGAGGTGGTCAATAAAGATGCAAGTCTCTTCTGTAGAAAGACATAATTTTCTTCATTCACGCGAACGAAACCGGCTCATACAACCTGATTTGAAGTTTGTATATGAGCTTGGATCCCGGAGTACAGTAAAAGGTACGTAAGTCGTCGAATACACTCAATATCAATCATCGCTGCAGGTCGATTGACCCCACAACTTTGTCGTATCTGGAAGGGGGGAGCGCATTGCAGCATAACTTGGACTTGCATTCTGTGGTAATTTTTTTGAGCTGAAATGCATACTGTGGTCATAGTCGATAGGAAGCACCGCAACAGAGAGTGTAGACACATCAGCAGAGTTGTCTCCCTCTATCTTTAGCGTAGCACTTGGATAAATAAATGTAAGTACTAGTTGGATGAAGCCAAGCGTAAAACCACATATGTTTGGGATCAGGATGAAGGGATTGTACACCAAAATTGTGTAGAATATCCAACACACACTGTTGCAGACTACGACGACACCCATTGTGAATGGCATCGAGGAAGCGGTCTTGGTTCGAATAACGTTAATGATCGTAGCCATCGGTGATGCGTACATGAGAATTGTTGTTGTAGCAGATATATAGCCCATTGTCGTTTCAATGGCGTCATGAGTTTGACCCGTTTGACCCGACAGCGCGAGAACACTATAGATTGTCATGATCCCACAGACGACGAAAGATCCAATGAGGATTCTCATGGTTTCACGTTTGTAGTCCGTCCATCTGTAAAAGAAATAAGCCAAAATCGCTCCCGCGATGACACCAATGACAACCACAAATAGTAACGGGAAGATGTCGTTAATGGCATACGCGTAGAACATTACCACGTAACAGTTCGTGTAAAGAAGAACACACGGCATCACAGACATCTCGCCCGTGTTTCGGTTCTTGCGCCAACGATTAAAGTCTGGTAAGAGCGCAACACGGAGCATGAGAGTAGTAATTATAGTCAGCACCTTGGCCACCGTCACAGCAGTATCGTGTCCACTCATTGCGTCGGCTTGTGTATTCCAGAGCTACTTGAAAAATGGTAGACTACTTGGAACACTTTCGTCCGAACGCTTGCTGATTTCGATTCCGTGGCGATTTTTATCGAATCATCCCGATTACAGTGTCCACTCTTTCTATCAAGCTATGAGACAATCACTTGAAGCGACAAGACTACATAGAAGTGTGAACAATCAGTGATCTTTGTATATACGAAAGAGTGTGATTGCTTCCGGTCTGACAACATTTGAGAGAAGAACTCAATTATAAAGTGGCGCACCCTACAGAGGTAGTACAATAGTCTTGTGCACATGACTTATGGTTAGTGAAGATTTCAATGCATTGTCGACATTTCGACCTCTGTTGGGAAAAATACTACGCACTTTTTGGAAAGCTAAGGTCATAGGTAGACAATCAAGTGATTATGGAATGATTGCGAGCGCATGAATCGACTGGTTTCTACAAGTGGCCCTGTACAAACGTTTTTAATTACATCCTGACGAAGAAGAAAATCCTACTTAATTACACATGAATACATTGCTGACTCTGTCAAATGGTGTATCAAGTAACGTATCACTAGCATGAACTTACTCGTTGACTCTTCGCGTCCCCCTGAATTTCTAAGACATCGAGTTTATCACAAAATCCAACAACAACAAAATGTCAAGAAATGCTAAAATGATCGGAACTCACAACCTTTAACCTTGGTCTTTACCACATAACTATATTAAGACCGCACAGATGCATTTGAGAAATTACCAATAAGCCTTGAATGAGTCTAAAGAGCTGTGCAATCATAACTTCCTCGTCAAAATATAATTCTACTCTGATTTTAAAAGACATACATGCTTAATAGAGCTACCTGTTATTGCGTTTTCGTATCATCGTATTTTCTTTGTCTTAAAGTCCAAGATCTAGTATAAACTAGTCGATTGTGTCGATTCCTCGAAATTAAAAGTCCGACTTGATGCCCCTGCTAGACACACTCAATATGAACAAGCGAGTACATGGATGAACTTCAACATTGCGTCAGCAGGGCTAAAAAAGTGACCACACTCCGAATTTTTGATCTCACCTCTTGCCAGATCATTCTCAATCTAATGATTTCTGTGATTTTTTGCCGGAATATAAAGCTCTACGTACAAACGACGACAAACAAAACTTTGGCTTGCCCCAAAAAAGATAGATGGCGGTAGACGCCGCTCACCGCTCAAACATTCAGACAAAAAAGTCCGCCCTTTTCTGCAAATCACTCGGTACCACTTCAGCGGCTGCCCTCTTGAGCTTTGACGCAATACCTCAAAAGCTTCTGTCACTGGCACACACTATAGCAGAAGCGCTAAAATTTAGATTCTTGTAAAGACGGAGATATTCGAAAGAAGAGAATTCGATATGATAGCCATCCCTGGTTGCAATAATGCGGGCAGTGCGAATCTCGTCGAAATACAAGCTGAATGGATCTACTACTTGATCAATCTGCTTAAGTTCTTCAAGAATCTAACGACACAGCAGATTGATAGGGTCCCTTGTGGTAAGGTGAGCGATCATATGGAAATACCATTCCTTGTACTAGACCAGTTACATAATGGACGTGGTCGCAACGTTTTTTATCATGTGTCGCTCAATAGCTGGTCCGAATGAATCTACAAAACGAAACTCAACGATACTGCTTTATACCCCAGACGTGCTAGAATGTAGTCACTTCAGCTGATAGCCCAGCCCGAAGCAATAGTCGAACTGAGATGAGAACGTGACAAAAGCTCACATGTCGAGCGCGTTCCAAGCTGATCCCTTATATACCTCTGTTGACTCTTTTGTCACCATGTGGCGCTGATTCGTACATATGTTATGAGGAAATACTAGTAGCTCGCACGCCCGGGGGATAGACAAGCCTTTTGTCTAGAAATTCTCATCCATGCACTGTTTGTACAAACAAGAATCAAATCTCGAAGAGATACTTCGTTCTAGAACACCACGGTTTCAAACTTGACGACCTGGCTCTCATTTATGCAGTTTCAATTAGGCGGTTGCACATTACCGTAACTACAAAAATAAAGGGAGGATAAAAAAAAATGCCGCAACTTTTGCCATATATAAAAAAAATATCCCAACTTTTCAAAAAATAAAAAAATACCCAGCACGTAAATTATCACCGGGAGCCGTAATATTACACAACAGAAGATGTATTGTATTAGGAATGAATTAGCATAATTAAACAAAATACCCCAAAATAACAAAGTATACATATTAATGTATACTCATTAATATGCTATAACCATTCAGTTTACTATTAACCAAGTAAAGCTAAATTAAAGAATACGTGACTTCTAACCAGGTTCCACATTAGCTCAGATGGTAGAGCGCTTGCAAACCTAATGGGTAGGTAGTTTGTTGGTGTCTCATGTCCCATGTCCTGTGTCCCTTGTCCCTATGTCCTCATACCCATGTCCTGTGTTTTATGTCCCATGTTCTATGTTCGAATTTCTAACAACATTCGTTCTGTATGTACCTGTAGGTCACTTAGTGTTAGTATAACAATTGTGAAAAAACAGTCAAATATTGAACTCGACATTGTACGCAAAAAGTTTATGTATATTATGCAATATAAAGTAGATACTTAGTTCACGCTATTTGTCGTTACTACATCGATGTGATGCACAATGAATGCAAGGAAAGAATATGTAAGCGTACTGGATGCATAACATCAGCACTTTAGTCTCTCTGTTTCACTTGACACTTGCCTTTGTTGTGACCACTTTCGCCACATTTGCTGCATTTGTACACTTTGGGGAGGGCATTGTAGACTGAATGGTTATAGCATATTAATGTATACTTTGTTAATGTGGGGAATTTTGGTAAATTATGCTAATTCATTCCTAATACAATACATCTTCTGTTGTGTAATATTACGGCTCCCCGGTGATAATTTACGTACTGGTATTTTTTTTAATTGAAAAGTTGGGATATTTTTTTATATATGGCAAAAGTTGCGGCATTTTTTTTATTCTCCCTAAAATAAAAGACAAATGTTTGGTTCTAAAGCAATTGTAAAAAAGCATTTTTAGCATTATTTTATATGTACATCTAATGTGTCCTACCAATTACTTGTACTTTGCACAGAAAAGTTCAATCAAGCAATTCGCGCTAATATCGCACAGCGGTAAAAGTACATACATTTAGTATATGCGGCTAACAACTTACGTCCACCACATACTTCTCCTTTCTTTTCACCATCTTCATTTTCTTGTGCTTTCTATTTATTATAAGTGTAATGTGAATTTCGTGCAGTTAAATCGTAATGAATATTTGGCTAGTTCCATATGTGTAAGCTTTAACTACACAGTATTACAACCCTTGCACCGTTCAATTTCAATTAACAAGCTGCACACCACACTGAGGCACTGATTTCGTCGTGTAAAGACATTGGGCAAAAGCAGCCGCTCCCAGAGAAATCAAGTCGTCTGAAGCTCACTTTCCTCTCTCTGTACTATGCCTACCTCCGAGCTTATTTGCACCGAGAGTCCGATTCCTAAAAAATAGCCTTACGAGCACAGCCAAAAGTGCGGTCATCATAACCTACACGTTAAAAGAGATATTTTACTGAGAATGACAATGTGTTCTTCGATGAAATCGGTCCCAGTGACTCTTCAACTCCCGATGAGCCGCCTCCGCCCTCAATTGGAAGACACATCCTTGCGATTATCGCGCTCACTACTTCACTACGCCAACCCTCCGCTAGACAAGACTCGAGTTTCGTGCTCTTTTTCTTCGGTGGGAAGTGTTTCGACATTTCACCGTCGAACTCACAACAATGTTCAGCGTTAACAACGAGTTGTACCTGGCTTAAGGTACTCAGCTTGGATACTGCAAGCGTAAGAGTTACGCTGACTCTTACCCAAATCCTCACGCCTTGTTTACAGTTCTAAACCGTCAGAAATCGCTATACGCGATAATTCGGATCTCCCACATGTATCTACATCTGAGCTTTACGTTCACGCAAGATCGTGACGAGCGCGAGAGGGTTGCTCCGCCGGCTCTGTTTCAGCTCATTGGCGGTCATAATCAAGGTCAACAGTCTGTATTTGGAGCAGAAGCGTGGGGAAAAGCCGTACTCTCCACAAAACAAATGTACCTAGGCCACTGTGAAATGAATAAAGTCTGATGAGTATCAAGCTTAGTTTGCGCACTGACCAGGGAGATCACGCCGTCTCACTCTCGTAGAGGTTTTATAAACTAGATGTTTTGAAACGAAGCATTTGTCTAGAAGGTCGTCTTATGCTTGACTTTGTACAGTACAAAATATGACGCGGACGTCGATGTAACAACCAATTTCGGCGGGTTTCTGCATTTTACAACTCATTTGTGTCCATAAGACAGCTGCGGCAGCTGCCAACCAAGGTGCACGTCCACGACAACGTCAGCAACCACCGACTAGTGGGGAGCGCGCAGTGACGGACTTCCCTGCCTTTTCTCCAAGGGAGATGAATACCGATAATGGTCGTAAGTGGCCACGGCACCAAAACAATCTTTCTGATGTGGAATCTTAAATTTATTTCTAGAGTTTATCTATTTCGCTTCACTCGGTACTGGAAACAGCACGTGTTTATCCGTCGGTTTACCTAACGCTCGACGTCATGTGTTTTATCCCTTGCTCACCGAGCAGTGCCTGCGTAAAAGAAATCATCATCTGTTGCCTTTTGTGAGGTTGTGGCAGCACGTTAATCTCTCAGAAAGTCTCAGTGTGCGTATTATAGTGACATCATCCATAAATTAGATATTTTTTTACTTTACCAATACGCTGCCTGGCAAGGCACACACAACGGTTTGGAGCCACGTCACTGTGTTTGGAGCAGATGGAAGCCTAGCTACAGTGGGTAGTGGAGACACTGATCCTCTGTATATTAGATCATCATATCCGACCGGCTCGTTAAAGCAGAGTCAGGGTATGGCTTCAGCCGAACACGAGACGTGTTTGCATTCCTTTGAAATAAGAAGATAAGCAATC